AAAAACTCATGATAAAAACCGTGGTGTTGAGTTTTCAATCGCCGGAGGTGTAGCAGAGACAGAGGATGTCTGAAAGCTAAGGAGGCACCTCGATATTTATATTCTGCATCTGGGTGGTCGCGGGCTACATCTATCTATCATCAAACAATGTACTGTTCCTAATTTCTATCCCCTACCATCGTACAGGGATTCCGTTTGACCCTGACAAACTTTCCGTCTTGCTTGGACTAGGGTCTCCATGTAGTGTCATGTTTCCGCGTGGGCGTTCTAAACCTCGCTGGCGAAAACGCACAATTCCTTCATCTCAGAGTTTTAGTTATGAGCGAGTGGTCTCACCTCGAGCCAACTCACCATCCTCCTTACTCTGACTGGAGTGATCAGCTCAGTCGAGAGTCTTATCAAATACCTCATTGTCTTCGCAACTTGACTGCATTGACTTTGAACACTTTCTGCCATGATCGGACTAGTCAACGTCATGGGAAAGTTCCTCATCCACAGATAGGCCTCCGGTTGGCTCTACACTGTGCGAGCACTAGACTGGGCTCCATGCCTCGTCCTTCCGGGTACGTCCCGATAACTCATTGGACTGTTGGCGATTCTATCCCAACACTTTCTGCCTACGTCCGAGGTGGTCAACCTCGCCTAGCTCCTAACTCCATCCTTACCCATCCGATTAACTCCATTCCACTTTGCAGACACGGCCTGAGGTCCCCTCCTATATATCCTGCGAACCGCTTCCAGTCGGACGGACAGTGATGACGTATACCGTCTTATGAAGCATGCTTTCTTTTCACCGGTTTCTACTGTCGGGACCCCACATTCCGGAAACACTATTACTGCGCGCAGGGCCAATGGCGGGGCCGGAGGGGGGTGTTGGCTATGAAATCTTCGCGGTTTTTCAGGAGGTCTGTGCGCGGTGAAGGTCTGTGCGTTCATATGTGTAACAGGATTATACTAGAGAAGGCCTTTCCAAACATGTTTGATGCTGTAAATCCCTGTGACTCAAAGAACTCATCGAACATGCTCATGCAAGCCCCATTGGGCTTATCAAAGTCATCCTGTAAGTATCATGCTAAACTTGTAGTGGTGCCACTGCATGGCCATTTAAGCGAGGGGGGGCCTTGAGGCAAAAGATAGGTGATAAGCGACTCGGCGCAGCCCCGTCAGGCTGCAGAGAGGGGAGTGGAACGAGAGGAGGTGAAGACCCTATGATGGAAGTGATGAGGAGAAACTTTGACCCTGGTTGGGCTAAAGAAAGATATTGTGGTGGATAAGATAATTCCCTGCCACGTAAGAAAGGATGTCCAAAGGAGATTACCAGATTGCGTAAAGAAAGTAAAATATAAGGGGGCACACCCTCCTTATATATTAAGAAATCCTTCCTGATCACTAATACAAAAGAAAGTCCTTGGTGTCGAGCGCAGCCGCGATCTACCCATTCAGTTCAATCGCGTTCCGTCACATGGTACCACATTCCAATCATGACACCAAGGAAATCCTACTATACAACCAACAAAAATACAACCAATTTTTGCAACCAAAAACCCAATGCCTGTTCCTCCTGCATGACTGGGTAGCCGTGACACCCATCATCTGGCATGACTCATACTTTGTATAATATGAAACCCACTATGACTGACAACTGTAAGTCATGTGAGATACTTTAGCTAATACCTATGAGTTGTTGTACAACTAATCAAAACTAAATAAGCAAGGTAGGTACACAACTTGCATCATCTGAGTAAAACCCATGACTCATACTTTGAGTAATGTGTGAAAATCATAATATTGTATAGCTCACAACTATGAGTCATGAACAGGTAAATGTAATAACCTATAACTTGCTAATGTGAGTCATATGAAATCCTCACATACTTATAGCTCAGAATTCTAAACGTTGTAAAATCTGTCTTGCTTAGTTACTATTCATAACAGGTTAATCAAAACTGGATCCATTGGATTTTCTTATTACTCACTGAGGTTAAAAGAATATAACTTGTTTATACCACGGTGCTAGTCATGCCTCTAAGTGCAATAGTAGTAGGAAGCTACCTATTAGAGACAGCATAACTGAACTCACTAAGGGAGACTTGGAACAGGTATAGCAGAATAAATAAAGATAACTGTTTAACTGACTATATTAAAATACTATCTGTCAAAGTCTGCTGTTTCTATAATGGAAATCAGCAGTCTTTTTAAGTTCACATTCTTGAGTATGTTCATGAATTCTCACTCATGTTCTTACTCAACCAACACATAATAATAACCAAGTATCAACTGATACTTAGAATAAAACATAAAGCAAACTAAGTATTAACTGATACTTAAAACAAAACATAACATGCCAGTGTACTAACTGAGCACAGGCTCCCATTGCATGCCAGTGTGTTATATGTGTAAAACCTATCATGATGACTCATATTCTGAGTTATATGTAAAAATTATAATATTGTGTGGCTCACCATTGTAAGTCCTCAATTTTTCAACCGATTATAGTCTGATGGTGATGTTGTACTAGCAACTATAGATTGCATAGAATCCTGTAACTTGTAGTTAAGCCATAGTGTAAAAATAACACACTTATGACTCAGAAATCTGAGTTATGTAAACTGTTTTCCTTACTTAATTACAATTTGTAATACTAGAAGACTGAAATTCACTATCCTGGTTGTAAGTCTAATGAATATTTTCAATATAGAAAGTATTTATTCTATTCATATTCAATATATCCTTATTCCTGCAGATCTACTTTAATAGTGGAATTGCTGTAGGATCAATGAATCTTTTATATTCATCTACATAAAAGAAAGTGTAATCCAGGAAACCTTCTGTATTACTAATATTTAATATTTTGCTATATTCTGTCTTTTACTTCTGCAACGTACTAGGATTAGATAGATACTGGTTCAATCTGCAGACTGATGGGAGGTTTGGGTAATTGTGACCAGAGAAATCATGTTGTTAGTTCCAATGGTATCATTACTATTCAGTTACAATCGCACACTCATCCCCCTCGATAACATAGCCTTTGTTCCTCTCCAGCATATGGCTCTCATCATCACCATCCCTCTCGTGGTCTGAGCGGCTTGTATCCGTGGGATTCTGTACACAGGAAAATATTACATCTTCATCACTCTCGTAGCTCTTGTTGATGTCTAAGTTGGGAGCTGCCCTTGTGGCCTATACTGTTTTTCCCATGCTAGTACGGTATCATAACTGCCTACGCGTTTCCAAGTCTATTGGGGTTGATTTGTAACCTTTCCTAAACCTATCCCTGGTTAGCCCCGATGTCTTTCTTCCCACTATTTCTGATAGCATTTGTTGATCGCAATGGTATATATGTATTTAAACGCTGTGAAATCCGGAATCAGACGAATAAATAGCCGAGAACTATCCGCAAACCGTGGCTTGAGAGTTTTGAGTTGTCATCAGAACCCCGAATTAATTCAGTAGGGTCACGTGAAACAAGTACGAGGTCGACTGCAACAAAGTACATTGAAACAGACGACGTCTAAGGACGAAGCGTGGCGAGACTTACGTGACCTCTATGGGGTACGGGGGAGGACAGAAATATCTGCCTACAGGCCTTAAAGGTTCATTTATTTTCGTTTGTATCATTATTAGTCTAAAAGTGGATGCCATGAGGGGAAGATGGGAAAATTGGTTTGACTGCTTGACTATCGATTCTCTACTCGAGTAGGTCTTGTAAACGGAAGGGAAGGCTCCACGTACAGAGCAACCCATACTGGAGATTAAAGGGCCGGCTTGTATTTTGGATATCTCGTGGGAATAGGCCTTGGCATCCATAAAATCGTTGTAGCGTTAACTATGATTTCTGGACCCATGGAATCTCACTGGGAATGCTAGGACCTAGGAAAACAAAGGTGCAAAAACCTTTCCCATAATCCCTTACCCTTCCATCCTGCGGAATTGATGCAGGAACACCCCATATACAGGGTCCTTGAGGACGCGGATCATGTTTTTTTTCAACAAATCCGGGAATATACAAGAAGTTTACTGGAAACACCATGTTTTACTTCCCCGCTCTACTCATGCCCAAGGTGCGATCAAACTGGAGATTAACAAAGTGTAGTAGAAGGAATATTGCGGCAATGGAAATAACCCCAATATAGAAGAGACTATATTACCTGGGAAGTGTGCGTAACCACTAGTGCATCTCAAGATACAGTCTTCCTTGTACTAATACGAGACTCACCTGCATAAACATAGCCTAGATACCCAGGGACATATAGTGCAAATGACTTAAAAGTGGGACCTCAAAACAGGCCAAATCCGAGCTTTAATAAGTAGACAATAACAACAAATTTTAAGGAAAAAAACCCAGGAGATAATCTCACTTCCCAGTAGAATAGTTCTTAGGTTTTTTTCATTTAATTAAGTCTTTCAAGCTTGTGGTATTAATGATTAAAAAGTGAAAATTTTGGTGAGAGTGAAACAAGTGACACAATGTACATAGGAGTGTGCTGAAATATACTGTGGAGTAGATATGAGTAGGGTCAAATAAAAAACTATGAGCTTAAGACAAAAGGCTAGCATAAGGTTATGGAACAGTTATTTCAGGTTAACTTGTGAAATTTATTCCTGTCTATCTTAGTTAAGGAGTTCCTATCCTTATACCCTATTTCTATGCTTTATTCAGGTATAGAACTTGGCATTTCTTGTCATTACCCGGACCGGTTGCAAGGGGTTTCACCGGAACTCCTGTTTCATCGGAGGACCCGCGTTTAGATGCTTTGCACCATATCACGAATCTTGGAGGATTACCCAAGCACTCCCGATCACTCTATGGGGATATCCCTAGCCTAGGTTTGGCGATGAATGTGCTGTTCTGGAGCTAGCTCACCCACCACCACCACCGTTAAGACACTCTGCCCAAAGATTTCTTTAAGTTATCTGCGTAGAATTCGCCGACTGGTCCACTGCTTCCAATGAATGAAAAAAGCATAAATACCAGTAATGTCCTCCCAGGAACATCCTCTACCGCTCGCGACTCACCTCTCGACCCAATCCCGAATACCCACCAAACAAAAACTCAAAGCAGGTATTCTCCATCCCCAATTCCCACCTTGAAACCGGAATCTAATGCAACCTTACATCAGCTACCATAACCTTTCTCAATCGAATCACCAGTAACACACCCCTCTTCCACTACCCACTCCCCCATCAAACCACGACTAACTAAAGCCACTCAGTGCTTTTAAAGTCCCTTCCCGCTCTCGCCCTATTGATGGCCTTCGCTCACGCAGTCGCGCTACCCGATTCGCTTGCGGAACCCGACTTCAGCAAACTCGATAAGCGCGATTGTATTAGTGACGGCTGCTATTGCAAAGAGGGGTCTGAAGGGGACTACTGCGGGTACTGCATCCCCCTCCAGCCAGGGTATTGCCCGGATGGTGCCAACTGCGAGCATTACTTGTACCATTGCGGTTCCGGTAAATGCTGTAGGTATCAGAACGAAGAGAGCTGCAAGAGACTTACTCGGCGTTGTTAAAATATATATATTTTTATCTCAAAGACTGAGTGAGATCGGGGAGGGTGAGACTAAGGGATTGCGTCTCGCTCATTTTCTTATTTATCGGCCATGTATGGGGGGGGTGAGTTTAAGGATCTTTTTTCTGACCGGTACGGAGGATGTCGGCTAATTCGGAAGGGTGACATATGTCGAACCCATGTTTTTCAAGGACTTTAAGTTGCTACCAGTTGGTTTTGACCATAACCTATCCTTGGAGATTGTCGTGTTCCCTCTCCTGATCCACCAGCAGATTACGAGTCTTCCAAACTGATCCGGTCATAAAGCACAGCAGTGGACTAGCGCTAATCAGTTAAGCCAAAGTGGACGTAAGTTCATCAGACCATACGATGTAACCAAACTGGGAGAATAGCTGCGGCGGTTATCCCGTGCAGGGGTGATATACCGGTGGTCTGCTTTGCCCGGGTAGGGGGGGGGGGGGGCTTCATACTAGTACCCACCCTGCGTCCCACACGCCCTGTTTCCTGATAACCCTCACATGCCACCCTTTCGAAGCACGTCTGCGAGATTAAAAAGTTCCGCACTGCGCCCTGCTGCGTATCTTCTCTATCCCGCTGGGAACGATAAGATATTTGATGAACCAAAATATGCCCCTGGACAACCATGTCACTGGCTTAACTGGACACCTCACCAAAAGGAGTACGGGCAAACGCGCCCCATACCAACAGGGAGGTGAGTGGTGAGTGATATTCAGGGGGGGCTATACCAGCAATGGTTATAGTTGCTATACCTCGCAGTTTAGACGCGTATCAATCTACTCGAGTGTTGAATAACTCGATCCACGCATCATGATGTTCCAATTGTATTGAGGGCAGATTCTCGTCGACTTGCCCGGTACTATATATATTAGAATAATCTAACATCTCGTTAGGATCCTTGGTGACTTTTGCCGTTGAGGTACGGCAATTTCTTTGGCCTTCGTCTGGGGCTAAAGGTGTCGTTTTTGTTTGCTGTGTTTTTGCACTCAGGTCTGAGAGGGAATTTGGACATCTCAAGAGATTGATTCAACCACGGTTAAAGGAATTGACTTTAGTTACCCTTATGGTATGCGTAAGTGCCCGTCCCACACTGGTCCCGTCCACAATGCCTATTATGGCCGACTAAAGTGGACCGCCGCCCACTCGGCATACGTGCCATATTTCATTTGGCCCCCGGAAGTAAATGAACTCTAACGGACCACCCCGCAGACCCTCTGGTATGGGCTCAAGTGCATATCATTTATAGCGGAAACCATTTCAGATCACCGGTACTCTGGGCGATGGTCACACCACTACGGCCTATGTGGACTGAGGCGAAGTCTTGGAGTTAGTATTGATTTCCTATCTGTAATGCTTATGAGTTTTTCGTTTGTAAGCGGGATGGAAGGTTCTGGAGATTCTGTAGAACCCGCATAGCAAAACACCCATGTTAGGCCTCGATTGGGAAAAGGTGTAAGGTCCCGATAAGGAACTTGTGTTTTACATGTCCTATGTTTGATACTTCTTCGTGTTGATTTTGTTTAACAGTTCTTAACATAAGCAATGGTTGAAGATGATACCTCTAACACCTTTGTTCGAGATTGGAACCATACGCCCTTTCCCAATCAATGCCTAACATGGGTGGAGCAACCGTGGTACTGTAGAGTACTCGTACATGCTTAAAACGCTTTGCCCCATTTCCACCATGGCATCGATTCCAAAACCCTCAGTGATCAATTTTCCATTGCGGGGCAGGTTTCAGATATACGCCTCAGGCTTAGCCCAATAGCATACGAAGTAGATGGCCTGTATCGCCTCGTCAATTGTAGCAAACAATATTACTCGAGTAAACTCTCCGAAGGATTAGCTGGCGTTTCGATTTACCCATTTCTCAGCATGTTCAGGGGAATACATCACTAGCCGTTGCTTAGGCGGTGATATAAAATTCGCGTCTGTTCCGCGGGCGGGGGGTTGTGGGGGGGGGGGGGGGGGTGCACTTGGGGTCGCATTTTGAGGGAAGGGTGAGCAAAGGGTTCTCGGCAGGATACCGGAAGACTACGGTACCGGTAGGTGGACAAGGTGTACTCGAGTACAGTACTGTACGCCGGGGAAAAATCCTCCATCATCCTAGCAAGCAGTGGCTAGGATTACGGCTGGAGAGCCGGGCATCCCTGAAGCTCCCCACCAGAAGCTCCCCGCACCCCATTCCCCCCCTTGCAAAAACAGGGGCACCTTTGCGGTCGGCACTATCCTAGGAGCCTAGTCTCAACCGAGACATATGGCATATTTGAATAATAAAGGGTCCGTTTGGCGCACTGTCATTTGAGATGGCAGTCATCTCAGAATGGGCTCAGCCAAATGCTTTTCGGGAAAATGTAAAAATTCCCTGTATTCAGCTCAATATTTTGAAGCATGTTTTCAAAATAAGGATGAGCCAAACATCACCACCATCTCAACACACGATTTGGCCCCAAAACGCATTTTGAGATGACAGAGAGCTCAGATGGCACCCCGGCAAACAGACCAAGAGAGGTGATAACAAGGGAATAACACAAGTTCAGGACAGAGGGGATGAAACGACAAAGAACACGGCAAAGAAAACAAAATTAATTAAGGTAGATAAAGTGGTGAAAAAGATGCGAAGTATCATAACTGAGCGGCCAATTGACAGCAGTTGATACTGCATTCAACCGGGAACTGCAATAACTCCCACTCAAACTCTGCCGCTCACCCAGATACAGGTACCAAGAAAGCCTTGTACACGCATGAACACCTACTCCCACTGCACGCAAGACCAATATCTGATCCAACCCCTATTCCAGAAATCTAACCTACTCGTACAACCCAACCAACCACCGAACCTGCTTCCAGAATTATTAATTAGAGGCCCACTTACAGCCGACACATCCGGCACATGCCTTATTGATAGCATTGTTGGCACTATGAAAGTGAAGAGTCGAGTGAGATTCGCTGATGGCACAACCTGGTTGTGGCACAATACCGTTGTCAGAAAAAATGGCGAGTATTTGGGTACTTCAGCGGGGCAAGGACACGCAGGGATGGGAAACGGGCGATACCTGGGCTAGATTAGGCTTGTAGATAATTTCTCATTTTTCTTTCCTTAAAAGAATAATTTCATTTGTATGTGGACCGTAAGAACTCGGATAGAAGAAAAATCTGCTTGAAGTCACTTTAAAGTGAGTCATGCCAAGTGGCCAGGATGGTCATGCTAATGCAAATCATAAAGCATGAGATATATAAAATCTAAAAATACAATTTCTTGCTTTTTTTTTTCAATCAACTTGAATATTGCCAACAGTATATTCTCAACCAAGTTAATCTAACGTAAATCACCCGGAAGCGAGCGATCCACTGGAAGCGAGATGGTCGGGTAATAAGCTATTTACCCCACACCCCCCGTATCTGAGCTGTTTAACTCACAACACAATGCCGAAAGTCAGACAACCATCGAATATCCCCTTTTTAACCTTTGAGCAACGCTATACTGCTGCCTTAAAGGGTTTAGAAGACCTTACCTTCAGTTCTATCTAGAAAGCTGCTGAGGCTTGTGGGCTGTCAAGATCAAGTCTTGGCCACTGCAAAAATGGATGCCGCAATCGCCAGGAAGCACATCAAGAGCAGCAGATCTTTACGCCGGCTACTGAAAAGGCCATAGTCAAATGGGTGCTCAAGTAGGATGATTTTAGCTTCCCTCCTCTCATGGATCATCACATGAGCATGGTAAAAAATTTAGCGAAGGAGGAGAAGAAACAGCAGGTACAGGTTTGAAGTACTATCCAAGGCCTGAACCCCGTACAGATTTACCTGATTGGTAAAAACTGAATAACTTGGTTTCTCAAGCGGCACCCAGTCCTAGCAGTAAAGTTTACCAGTCGTATCGACCGATGGCATGCATATTCTAGCAATTCATAGATTATCAATACCCACTTCTGAAAGCTTGGTAAAGTTCTCCGACAATACACCTTTAGGCCCTGGGGGTTCACCAATGTGAGTGAAAAAGGATTTGTTATAGATATCTCACTACGCACTAGAGTTGTTACCTGTCCTGGAAAAAAAAAATCTTTGAGTAAAGCAAGATGGAAAATGGGAGTTCCTTACTGCTCTGGAGGCTGCTTCTGCCGATGGGTTTGTTTTTCCACCATACTTGATCGGAAAGGGCAGTGTTCATATTTTTGATTGATATAAGAATATAGGAGAGGAGGATAAGTTAGCACGCTGGGCAGTATTACCAAAAGGGTGGATGGATAGCCAAATTGGATATGAGTGGTAGACAATGGTATATGATCCAATTTTCTAAACGCAATGTCCTGGCAAGCCCTGGCTCCTTATTCATGATGGCCATATCTATCATATTAACTACAAGTTTCTTTCCTATGGTGAAAGGAATGATATTGTCATCTTTTGTCTCTCTCCTCATACTACACATCTCCTGCAACCTCTTGATGTTGGGCTCTTTTCACCATTGCAGATGCATTACAAAAAATCAGTTGAGGACTACTTTCTTACCACCTCCATTGGTATTAACTGCAATATTTTTTTTCCTCTTTACAAACAAGCTCGTCTCCATGCCTACACAATTCAAAATGTCATGAAGGTATTTGAGACAACCGGCATCTGTCCATTCAATGCTCGACCCGTGATGAGTGAATTGGAAACTGTCACTGCACTGAGCTGAGTGGCTGAGAACCAGAAGACACTCAGCAAAAGTGGCTTCTCTCTTGAGCGCACTCCTTACACCAAATGTGAGCTCAGACAGCAGACAAACCAGGCACTTACCTTCATGAAAACAGCATCCGAGGGAGATATCTGTGAACTCGTTCTTCGCTTCTGTTATACAGCTGAGTATATGACAGTGCAAGCAGGTATTGCAAATGCAAAAGCCCCGAAGGTTCGAGTAGCAGTAAAGGCTATTTGGCCATCAAAGAAAAACTTGCGCTGGCTTGGAAAAGGGAATCAGGTAGGGGTACTGAGTGGGAAAGCAATCTTACAGGGTATTAAAGAGTGGGAGGAAACAC